ATATATGTGTGTATATATATATATATATATATAGTCCAATCTGCAGACAGTACCGTTTCGATCTTGTTAGATCTCATCAGTGCAGCTCAGGATTTTAAGAATGAAAAACACGACAGAATCAAACATGGCTTGGGTCAGCCCTGTGTATATATATATATATATATATGTATATTTTTATTTATTTATTTTTAATTATTCAGTTATTTTTATAGCGCCTTTCACTGATAATTGGGTCAACACATATTAAGTGTTGCAGCTCTAATCAGTGCAGCAGCAGGCAACCCCACCAGGTGGTACCTATTAATAATCCTGCATTGACCATTTCTATATGGGTGCACAGAATGCCTTGCTTAAGAACACAAGTAAAATGCACAGGGAGGAATTGAAACCCTGACCTGTAGGTTGGAAAACCAAACTGTTCCCACTGCACCAAACCACTTCAATACAGTTTACGATAAGTATGTAAAGTTAAAATAAACTATAACTTACCCACATGGATCAATTAACCAATTAACAATAATTAATGTGATAGGGGACCATGGTAATTAACTATAGTGTTTCACCGTTGTTTAATGTGGAACTATAGTAATGTACAGTACTTTCTTAAGGTAAGGAAGGGGTTGCACAGTTGGTTTGTTTTCATAAGGAATCTATGCTATTGCTTCTGAACACTACTGTCCAAAACTTACCCCCGTATTCTTAAAACGAACTTCATTTCGTATTCTTAAAGCGAATTTCAACTAGCACTACGACTAAATCACTCGAACCTCGACTAACATTACGCCTCCTCAGACCGATTTTTTTAGTCAGACTAGGGTCAGGCTAAATTACCGACTTGAAATATTTGCCCACTAAAACATGCTTTTCGTAACTTACGATAAAGTGAAATGAATAAAAACAATTGTATAAATAGGTCTGATGTATCTCCAGTGTGCTCAAGAAAAGGGACATTACATTTAGCTTCCAAAATGCAAAATTAACATTTTTTGCTAGCCATATGCAACAGTTCCTGATTTGCATGAAATCTCTTCTTGTTGCGGTCACGTAGCTTCACCGTAACAACAACAAAGATGGTGCCGCCCTCGCTTGACCTCAACTATAATAGTTCTCCAGAGAAAGCAAATTTTCAGTCACATTTCAAATTCTCTATCGTTAGATATTAACAACTAATATAGTTATTATATAATATAGTTAGGCAAATAATGGTCTATTATGAATTATGAGGAAATATGTTTTTGAAAAACAGACGGCAGTTTAAAATTCTTCTGTGTTACCGGATTCTAAAATATTGTTTAAAATTAGCTCTTTCCATTGTTTAGTTTGATAGTTGTTGCTTGCCAGCCGTCTTCAGCTGAACTACAACTAGGACTTGATTTAGTCGTAGTTAAAAATTTGACTACATTGTTTGTGAATACAAATTGAGGTTGGAGTTGCAACTAAGACTAAATGAAGTTCTAGTTCGAAGTTCGTTTTAAGAATACAGGCGTAAGTGTGATATTTTTGATGAAAATGATATTTTGCATCTTTTTACTTTCTCTCCAACTTTCCTCCACTAAAATCTTATTTTCATTGTCATCCAGTGGAACCACATTATGCAGCGTATAGAAGTTAAACATTTTTATTCTTCTAATTTAGTTTGTCATCAAACACATGACAAATGTCTTTTGATTGGTTGGTTGTTGACATTTGAGTATTATTTACTGACAGTGTGTAATGTCCAAGAGCTCTGATCCTACACTTATTTACTTCACAAGTGGTACTACTGGACTACCAAAGATGGTAGAACATACACAAGCTAGTTACGGCCTTGCACATGTCATCACTGGAAAGTACGTTTTGAAATATATACTGTATCATATAATATAGTGAAAGTGGTACAGAGATGATGATGGTGATGTGTATGATGATGTGATAGGGATGAGGATGGTGATGATTGGGACATCTCTGGTGTGGACAGTGATCATGGCAGCATTAAAGATGGTGATTAAGATGATGACGAGTATGATTATAACCACAGTTGCGATGATAGTGATGATGATGACAGCGATGATGATAACATCAGCGAAAGCATTGATTGTGCTAATTTTGTGGTGGTGATGGTGATGTTTTTGTGATGATGAAATAGGTGTGATTCACCTGCAAATTGAAGAACATAATTTGACTTTTAATTAAAAACTTTATGGAACACAAGGTTACCTTGAATTTTCATTTAAATCAAAATGGGCAATGGCATTTTATGTGCACACACAATTCTGCTGTTATGAAGTGGTGTATCGAGATGTCTTGAAAGGGAAGGGCTGATGGTGGGGAAGGGCTGATGGTGGGGAATGAAGGTAAAATGAGGCTCAATGATTAAGTGAGGGGTCGCTAGCTCACAATATAGAATGTATAAGGTGATTTTAACTACTAGAGCGTGATTTTTTCGTTTAAAAATTTTATAATGTGAAGGAGACTGGAGGCACACATTTCTTTTGTTGGGGGGGGGGGAGAGGGAAGGGTGTGTGCACCCCCTAGATATGCCACGACTGTTATGTGATGCTGCTTGAGTTAGTCTTTGGAGCAAAAATGCACAGATGCTTTTTAACTTTACTTGTTTACCAAACAGCATTGTGTAATAAGTCCATTTTGTTTATAAATCATCAGGTACTGGTTAGATTTGACTTCGATTGACATCCACTGGAATTTATCTGACACAGGTTGGGCTAAATCAGCGTATAGCAGTTTCTATGCGCCATGGATTCAAGGTTCATGTATTTTTGTTCACGACACTCCAAAGTTTGATGCAATTAAGATGTTACAGGTATTCAATTTTTTGTGTTATTTATTAGAACCAGATCCAATTGATATACTGTACACTTTTTTTTATTTGTTGCATCTAGTGCTTTTGATCCATATGTAACTAGGCACTTTATAAATTCCAGTATTAATGCAATATATTTGCAGATTTTAGATGAATATCCAGTGAGTACTCTCTGCGGGGCACCAACTGTGTTCAGGATGCTTGTGCAAGAAGATTTAAGTCAGTATAACTTGGATTCACTACGTCATGTTGTCAGTGCTGGTGAACCTTTGGTAAGTTAGATAAACAAGAGCAACCGCTCAACGGTCTGCATGTTCCTCCATGCTTAAACACGGTACAGGTGCAAGCTATTATATTAGATTTTTTGGAAGAGCTAATAAGATAGATTTTTTATATAATTAGGATGTTTATTTGTACAAAAAAAAAATGATTTGGAATATTCATTTGTACAAAATTGAAATATATTAAAATTAAATTTCTTAAAATAAAAAAATAAAAAAATATACCATGACGCGATCTGAACTCACAACCTTAAGTTTTTTAGAAGACATCCTTAACCGACCGCGCCATCTATGCGACTTGCCTTATTAGTGGTAATGTACAGTCCTTGTTGAAACTTCTGTTTTGTAAGTGTAGGAGGAACCCTGGGGTCTAACTAAAAAAAAAAGGGTGATGAACGTTTGTTGGAAATCACCTAGTTTATGTGTACAAAATTTCCTGCACGTCTGTTCAAAACTGGCGACGCTGGACGCTTTTAAAGTTTTGGGAACAACAACAAGGGGTCTTGCGCAGACCTAAAATGAAGATGATAAAACAGTTTGCAAGCTATTTTTCAATCACATTTTGAATAATTTTATCTCAATAATAATAATAATAATAATAATAATGCTAAAGATTGATATAGTGCCAATTCCAAATCAATGATCAAACGCTCTGAGCGTTATTACCCGTGGTCACTGAATAATGTACAACGGCAAACCTGCACGAAGTGCAACCTTCTCTGCTCCCTGAGGAGTATACCTACTCGTTAACATGTACTCGGCGCACGAAAGTAGTACAGTCAATGCCACAACATTCTACCAGTTTATCTTAATAATTTGTCTCTGTTAAATTTTTCCCTCAGAATCCTGAAATTATTGAAGAATGGAGAAAAAGAGTGGGACATGTTATCAGGGAAGGTTATGGTCAGACTGAAACAGTAAGGGGCTTATTGTTAGAACTGTTATACAAATAGTAAATGCTCAATTCCATTCTAAAAAAAGTTCACCATTGTTTTCTGTGCAAAATATCCATTACAACTGCATTAAAATAAAGGTTAATATGAATATTAAACATGAAGATTTCCTTAGAGTTTCATCATTATTATAGCCAATTTCCATTTTCAGAAATATATAACTTGTTTGGCTTGGTACTCAAATTCAGCCTTGTTCTGTACATACTTGATTTTGTGTTCATCTTTGTCGTTATCTTCATTCCTGCCTTCACTTTCATTGTCATCAATATTTTCTATTGCAGGTTATATTATGTGGTTCCTTCAGATGTCTGCCATTGAAACCAGGTTCAATGGGTAAGGCAGCACCTGGTTACGACCTTTGTATAGTTGATGATGATGGCAATGATCTGGGGACAGGTCAAGAAGGTTGTGTAGGAGTTAGGGTCAAACCTAATAGACCTGTTGGACTGTTTACAGATTACATTGTAAGTACAGAAATAATCAACAGTATCTAAATTTACTTGCTGGGATGATTTGGACAGTAGTTAGTATTTGTGTCCTGAATCATGGTGTTGGGGTTCGAATCTCATGCTGCAGTATTTGTTTGGTGGTCTAAAATCTTTAATTAATAAATTTGATATACCGTAAATCCTTTAATGGAAGCCCTGAACTTCTTGTTTTTTGCAAACTTTGGATGGGCTTCTTTTCGAGATGGGCTTCTTTTCGAGATAGGTTTTTTTCTCCGAGGCTACTTTTGCAAAATGAAGAGAAGTACTTCTTTTCAAAATGAAAGCTGTAAATTTTGGAAATTACTACTATAAAGCAATGAATAGGGGCATGGTAACATCTGTCTGTATCATGGAGTGTATTAACCAGCATTAAAACACCTAAACTATTGTGTAAACCAAGCATGTTTTTAATATATTTTGTTTCTTTAAAATTCATGTACAGTGTATGTACTGTATTATCTTGAAAAGTAGCCCATGGGCTTCTTTTCGAATGGGCTTCTTTTCGAGGCTACTTTTGCAAGTTAAAGAGGGGAGCTTCAATTCGAGGTTTTACCATATTATCAATGAATTTTAGCCCTGTTTTAATTTTACCAACACAATGCATGGGGTGAGTGATGATGGTTTGCAATGAACAATAACATTATTGTATATTAGCATTGCTACAAGAGTTGCCCACTATAAAATATAGTCCAAATGAAAATAAATAACATACAATTTGCCCTGTTCAATGTAATTTGGTCTGAATGAATTTTCTGCACTAGGAATATTCAACCAGTGAGGAAAGTGTTATTTAATTTTTAGAATGATCCTGAAAGAACAGCTTCTGTATTTAAAGGTGATTTCTACTTGACTGGTGACAGGGCTTTGAAGGATGAAGATGGTTACTTCTGGTTCGTTGCTAGAGATGATGATGTCATAACATCTGCTGGGTGAGGAATTGTTGCCTGCTTTGTAATGAAGTTTTTTTGTCAGCATGTAGTAAAAAATGAAGACAAATTCATAATGGATTTATTGATCAAATGTCATTGTTTATTATCCTAGATACAGGATTGGACCATTTGAAGTTGAGAGTGCCCTCATAGAGCATCCAGCAGTTGCCGAATCGGCTGCAGTTAGCAGTCCTGACGAGCTCAGAGGAGAGGTATTCAGGTCTAACTTTGATTTATTCTTGCAACATTGCCATTCTCGGAGTATTATTTGTGTAGTTAAGCATCAAGGAAACCAAATTTCATGTTTACCTTGTTTAGTTGTCATGACAATAAAGTTTATCTTACCTAATCATGAACCCTAAATAAATCTTCATTTTTGTAAATTTTTTTAGTGGAGTAACTTCCCTACCCTGTGATGCATAGTTAAAATAATGTTTGGGTATGCAGGTTATTAGGACCTTAGTGAAGTAACGTCCTTGGGATGCATAGTTCACTTGGGTGTGCTGGTCATTATTGGAGTAACTTCCCTACCCCGCGATGCATAGTTTGAATAGGGTTGGGGTATGACTTAGTCCTAATTTAAAATTCTCATCACCTACAAAGCATTACATGGCACATCACCATCTTATATCAGAGACCTTATGCAGTACCGTTCTTCATCTCACACTCCCTTCTATCAATAAACTTTTACTTAATGTTTGAAGATACAGATTGGAGTCATTTCGAAAACATTCATTTTCATGTGCACCTCATTTATGGAACGCTCTTCCTCAAGATATTAAGATGTCGAAGAGTTTTACGATTTTCAAAAAGAGTCTAAAAACCCTGCTGTTGGAGCGCTATTGAACATATTATATGGATAATAATAATAATAATAATAATTTATTGGGAAACTACACTTATGAAACAGTGGCACACACAACATGATAAAGGTGCGTCCAAAAAAAAAATACTTCAAACAGAATACAACACTAAAGAAAACAAAGTATAAATTGAGTAACTGTCACTCAAGCATTTGACAAGCACCCCACTCCCATCCAATACCCACCCTCGTCAAAGTATTATATGCAATGATGCCTCAATAATCATGTCAATCATCTGAGTGACCCTTATTCAATTAAAAGTAAATACAGTATAATATATAATACGAAGTAAACAAAACTAAAAATTCTAAAAGTAGTCAAAAAAACCAAAAAAAATGACCAAGGAAAATGAATTAAACTTCAAAACAAATACATAAAGATTAAAAACAAATATGTTCAGAATACCGAATATCCCTGTGAGCATACATTTCCCACATCAATAACAAGTTACTGTACTCTTCCTCACAAGAACAAAAAGAAATAAAAATAAAAAATAAAATAAAATAAAAAAAAGCAAAACTAAACACCTTATTAGCAGAAACAATATTCTAAGTACCGTTATTCCCTCCCCAAACTATGCATTTGCCCCTTCCCCTTAAAAACCTAAGCAACATACATCAAAAATAGTAATGCAGGAAAGAAAAACAACTAAATGAAATTGAAAATAGGGGTGAACTGAATAACAGTACTATAAAGCAAAGTTAGAGCATGGAATTCAAAATCTCGTAGCGGAATTTCCTGCTCTTTTGGTATATCTTTTGCAAAACTTGTCGAAGATATTTTCATACTTTCTGCTAAGGAGCAACGATGAACAACCCAAAATATGATGTAGTTTTAGGTCATCATTTGCATTAATAAATTCATTATACAATTCTATATTGTCAAGTAATTCAATTTTTAATTTAGAAATTTCATCAATACGTACATTTTGTAGGGCTGGGCAGACTAAGAGGAATGATTGATTGATTGATTGATTGATCATTGGAGTAACATCCCTACCCTGTGATGCATAGTTCGTTAGGGTTGGGGTATGCAGGTCAGCCTTAGTGGAGTAACGTCCATTGTATTCTTTTTTGTGTTTATGCGGATATTGGCCAAGTGGTGATGCCAGTGGTTGGGGGGGGGGGTGGCAGGGGGAATTTTCCCACCCGTCGGACAGGCCTAGTCGACACACGACTAGGACATTAGATCAAAAATAAAAAAAATAATAATAATTTGCCTAATCAAATAACGTTATTTTGACTGCCAATCTGTAGTGTTATGGTCTAAAAGCACATTTTGGACCATACTAAGCCATAAAAACCCGTGAACTCTACAAGGATGTTTTTATTCTGGGTCTTCGACTGAGGCTTTATTAGCCCCTTGGCTCAGACCCCTCTGCCCCCTTGTCGGCAAATTTCTAGTGTAACCGCTGTATTGGCTCTTGGTGGCACTTCTAGCAAATAAAAGAAATTGATTTGAATTGAATGAATGGCATACTACAAATAGTTTTGTTTAATGTTTAATAGCTCTCAATTAATTGGTTGGTTGAATTTTTGATCAATCGATCGATTGATTGATGGATTTGGTTATTACAGTATTTGAATAATTAAATATATGATTGATGATGGACTGATAAAAAGTGGATGTGTATTTCATCATTTATCTTAGGTTGTGAAAGCATTTGTCGTCCTTGCAAGTAACTACAAAGTTGAAAATTATGAAGCTCTAAAAGAGGAACTAAAGAAGTATGTGCAGGATACAACAGCACCTTACAAGTATCCAAGGAAGGTAAGATGTACACACGAATGTACTTTTAATGGCCTGGGGGGGGGGGAGAGGGTGGAGAATGAAGGGGTGTTCAGTCACAGATGTTTGTCACATAGAATTTGATAGAGTTTTTTAGAGATCCTGGGATAGCATGGGGCTTGGTTTGATTACAGGGGGATAGGCCTGTTTGTTCTGTACATGGTGAATATTATTTTTAATGACCGTAATAATTTAGCTATTAATGTTTCAATATTTCTTTCATAAATTCTAACTATCTAATTCTAATCCAAGTCTAACACAATATTATCGTTGAGAGGATCGAGAGTACACTAATCAGGTGGTACCAGTAGTAGCACCAGCATGGGGCAGTGGTGCTGGGGGGGAGGGGGTGTTGTGGTGAGCAATTCCAAAATTAAAAAATAATATGCTTCTCCAACTGTTTATTTTGATTGCCGACAGTGGCATATCTAGGGGGTGCGCTGGGGACGCACGCCCCTCCAAAAATTACCTGCGCTCCCCCAGTCGGCCCCCAAAATCTAGTATTTAAAAAACAACTAAATTCACCTTAGTTTATGAGTTAGCGTCCCTCAACTGATCATCGAGGCCCCCCCCCATCAGTACCCCCACTTATATATAAGTATATGCCACTGATTGCCAATCCCTAATATTGTGGTCTAAAATTACAATTTGGACCATACTAAGCCATAAAAACTCTCCCCTGAACACTACCAGGGATTATTTATTTCGGGACCC